ACCGGCCCCAAACTATCAGTAGGCCCACGGCGTTTCCACAGAACAACGGCGGGAGCGTATGGCTCCGGCTCCACTGTCGGACCGATCCCTACCAGAAGTAGGCATGCGTGCCTACCCTATGGGCCTCGCCACACCACTCTCGAAAGGAGAAAAAGACAAAAATCTGGCGGGCGCATCTGGCCATGTTCTAGCAGGAAGTTCATTCTCATTTTGCAGATTTCGAGAGAGGTGTGGCGATGCCCTATGGTAGGAAACCTCGGTAAAGCCGGTGGTTGTTACGCGGAGTGGCGGTGTGGTGCTCAGCCACGTTCCCATCGCTACGGTAGTGGGACCATGCTCCAGTACGCTCGCGTTCGATTCAGCATGTGATTCACTGTAAATGGCGTTCATTCTTTTCTATTTCTTTTCATTCTTTTTTATTTCTTTGTTTAATTTATTAATTATTTTTTTCAACTTTATTTTCTTTCCTTGGACCTGGATTCCCTACTCACATAAGAAAAAACTGCAAATGAGAATGAATCTTCTGGCAGAACATTCGAAAGATACATCGCCGTATCTTCTGTCTTTTGTGGATGTGGCGAGCACTGGAGCGAGGGCCAGTCTTTCGTTTTCCCTCGCTTTGTATTTTCTTCTCTCTGTGACGAGTTCGTAGCATCATATTCCGTAACCCCCGGAAAAGTCTACCGTCTTCCCCCGAACATAACGCACCCTGAAATTGAACGTACGCAGGCTATATTTCCGGTCCGGTGCAGCCAAGATGAGGGTGCGTTGTGTTCGGGGCAGACGGCAGCACAAGAAAGGACTATCGACGAACGGCGTCCCCGTTGGCTGCTCGAGCGGAGTAGGCCGAAGATCGCACGGCGCACCGAACCTCGGAGCTCGGTTTCTTTCTCAGTAATAGCCTAATAGGGTATCGCCACACTACTCTCGAAATGTGCAATATGAGGATGAACTTCGAGCTAGAACATGGCCAGATGCAACCGCCACATTTTTGTCTTTTTCACATTTCGAGAGTGGTGTGGCGATGCCCATATAGACCGTATCCTTTTTTGCTTTTCCCAGGAAAAGAAAGGCCCGGGGCATAGGAACCAATCAAATACCGGGAGCCGTGTGTTAACCGCAGAGCGTCCAGCTAGGTAGTCTAATACGTGGGCACTGACGCGGCATAATACGTGGCAGAGCACCGTCTTCCCCCGAACATAACGCACCCGCATTTTGCCTGTACCGGACCGGAAAGATAGGTACTCTACATTCATGATCAGGGTGCGGGGGAAGAGGGTAGGGACGGCGGGGGAATACTGTGCGGGCGGTGGCGGGAGAGGTGGGGAGCGGGGTGAGCGGTGAACCCCCACCCATTGATCATATAAAAATCTTAGCCGTCCAAATTGAAAAGTGCAGCGCTACAGCCAATGGATGACCCACATACGATAGTCTCAAGTAGCTCACACGTCACATAAGATAGTGCAGCGGCGAACACGACAACACATGTCGAAGAGAAGAGTAGAGTCTCTCCCGGGCCCAAGTCCCACTTTCCCGAATTCCTGATTTCTGACAGGATATATATATATATGTATGTTTTTTTTTTTTTTTTGGGATTATGACAGTAGATTACGAAGATCCACGGCCGGAAACGAAGAATCGCGCAAGCGGGACTTGGTGAAAGTATCAACCAATATTATCAATCATTTCTGCCTATAGATTGTGATAGATTGCGAAGATCAAACCGCGCAGGTAGAAAAAAAAAAAAACAAAAAAAAAAACCGCGCAGGTAGACCCGGCCCCAGACAGTTCAGGTGATATATAGTCCAACAAGCCTTACGCCATAACTCCGCGGCCTCGCTACCTGTAGTTTTTTTTTTTTTTCCCTTTCTTTCGGGAAGCTACCCGTAGTTTAGTAACCGCCTACCGTAGTTTAGGCCAAGTTTTTTCACGGCCGTAACTGTGCGCGGGACGTTCTCCATCGCCGCGCCAAGGTGATTTTTTTTTTTTTTTTTTTTTCCCCTTTTTGAAAGGGCGATGGCCTTGAGCGCCAAGGTGAATTCGAGGGAGGGATGTAAAAAAAAGTAAAAATTCGAGGGAGAGAGGAATGGAAATTCCCAAGTCACGCTGCCATGCTGTCTGGTCGAATTGCTGGCAGTGGTCGATGCCTGGGGGCTGAGGTCTCACTAGCAAAGAGGGGTGGATTAAGCGCCTGAATCTGGATGGGTTTTGCAATGCGGAGAACCAGTTTCAATCGCGACTTTCAGCACCTCTCCAAAAACGCGTCCACATTCAGGCGTTAAATCCAACCCTCTTTGCTAGCCGGTAGGGTGGGAGTTCTGTCACATAGGCAGACAGAGTGCCCAGCTTCGTATCGTACCTTGTTGGCACGATCCTAGCGCCAGTGGGCCTTGGGCGGCACACTGTTCTGTTCTGTGCTGCTGGTGCATGCTGACAGGTGTCTTGGGAAATCTTGGGAAAGTCGTCGTTCCTTTCCAAATCCCCCCCCACCGTAGCGGTACTCGGGGGCAAGGTCCCACTTGCGCACATCAGGAGATTTCGGCCGTTGATCTTTGTTATCTACGGTCGCTATCTCTTAATTCGTGCAAGTGGGACCTAGCCCCAGGAGGGAAAACAGAAAAAAAACAGGTCCTTCGGGACATCCGTTAAAATTGGAACGATACAGAGAAGATTTTTTTTTATTTTTTTTTTTATTTTTTTTTGATACAGAGAAGATTAGCATTGCGGAAGGATGACACGCATAAATCGAGGAAAAAAACAGAAAGAAAGGTAAGGTAAGGAAGTAAAAAAGGGACCACTGCACAACACACTCACCCGCATGGTGGCTTTGGGTTTTCAGCGGCCTTTCATACGACCACGGAGTCGAAAATTCGTGGAAAGCACAAGGCGGGTAAAGGCGGCGTTTCAGGTGCAGTAGAGGGACGCTGTGTGAACGGAAAGGGCGGGGAAACCGGTTTGGTGAGGCAGCGCGTGCGAATTTTCGTACGTTTCACCTCACCGTGCTGTTCTTGTTCGCGCTCTTTGACTGCACGCGTTCATCCTTGTGGTGGCTTTTTGTGGCCATGTGTGCAGCGCCAAAAAAAAAAGGAAACCGCAATCGGTCTCGTAGCTATCCGTGTGCATGTCCGTCTATAGGTCTGATGGGCTGATGGACTACTGTAGTGATAGTGAGATTCGTCGTGCAAGATAAACCGTGGCGGCAAAGGTGAAACTCTCACGTTGAGGCTGAGTTGGAAGGGGAAATTGTGCTGGTGAAGGGTGTGGAAAGAGAAAGAAGGCGGGTGTATGTACGAGACTTCACTCAAGGGTGGAGGATCGGCATTCTATAGAGGGAGTGCAGCGTCAGTGCAAGTGTTTCCCATTCTCTCTCTCTCTCTCACTCTCTCTCTCTCTCTC